GATCCCGGAAGGTTTTCTCTAGCAGCTGATCTTGTAGGGCCACCCTTTGCAGATACACTAAAAAAGACAAACCCCTCACCCTGACCACTCGGCGTGTGTGTGCTCTGAACCCTGCTTTGGAAGCCTGCGCTCTGAAGCTGTGGCGCTGGGCACTGGGACAGTCGGAACGGTGCGATGCTCCCAGGGGCCCTGAGCCAAGCTGTTCCTTAAAGGGCTGGTCTCCATGGTCACTGTTGTGAGGTTTCTGCAGGCCCTGCACTGTCTATGGCACAAACCTGTAGGCACCGGGCTCTAGACCCTCCAAAATCAGGTGCTTCTCTCCACAGAGTTCTTCCTTGCAGCGTTTTGCAGCCGCAGTGTGGCCTTTAGCAGTGTGGTACCGAGCGAGACCATCTCTTTAAGACTAACGGCATTCATGTTATAGCTGGCAGACTCTCCCTGGCTGGCTGAGCCCTAGCTTAACGATGAGTTTTGTTTGATTAAAATCAGTTCTTTCACGATCTCAGCCTGGAGTCTGGCTTCCCTCTCTCAGCAGCTGCTGCTGAGCACTGGGGACGGAGCAACTGCAGACTCCTGGCCTCGGCAAACCTCTGCCAGGGACGTGCGCTGCCAGTGCTGCTGCCAGGCAGGCTAAACCACACCTGGGGTTCACGCTCTGAAGTACTAATCCTGCATGGCCATAATCTTACCTGGTGTATCGGACTAACTGTGACTGGAGAAAAGGCTTCCAGTTAATTGTGGGGAAGGGAATTCTCCCTGAGAGAAGCTTATCTCGGCATACTTGCATGCCTGTGGCTGACAGATGTGTTAAAAGACGTGCCCTGTGCTGGTTTTCCCCGCGTACAACGGGAAGCCTCTTAACTGCTAGTGACTGGGAAGAGCAGGTAAATCCAAAGCTAGTAACTCCCTGCCCATGGGGCAGCTAAACTTGACAGAATCCTTGCCACGTTGCAGGGCAGGAACATAAATTATTTCCTGTAAGCCATCAAATCACCCTGCCCGTTTCCTTTTCCACTGCTGCATGTCTGTTTGTGTGTGTGCAGATGTATATGTGTATATATATAAAAATATATATATACATACATATACATACCAGCTCTCTCCCAGCCAGCTGCCTTTCCTTGCAAGAAGCACATCATACAGCTGCTGGGTATACGGAGAAGGGGTCTGGCACTGCTAGGAGGGAGCGAGCGGTGGAACGTGGCTACGTGCCAGGGATGCTCTGGAGAGGGGCTTTTGGAGTCTGTTCCGCTTCCTTCCCAAGCTCCCCACGTCTGCTGCGCACCAGGACGAGCTGCGAGTCTCTGCTGATCCCAGACATTCGATCAAAGACCCCAGTCCCAAGGTCACCCACAGCTTTTTGGAGTCAAGGGCCGTGAGGATGTCCCAACAGGCATCTCCTGGGCATCTGCTTCTCTTGCAACTCGGCCTAGGGAAGGAGCATCCAGGGATTTGTGCGTTCCCGAGTGCTGGAGCATGTGTGTGCTGGAAGCCTAAAGGGCCTGCTAGGGAGGGAACGTGCTGCTGCGTGGGAGCTGACCCTTTCTCTGCTCTCTCCCCACCTGTAGTGCTGGCGTGCGGCCGCCCCCAGGCCACGGCGGTGTACAAGGTGTCTGAATACGCCAGGAGATTCGGTGTCCCCGTGATTGCAGATGGAGGGATCCAGACGGTTGGGCACATCGCAAAGGCCCTCGCACTCGGGGCCTCCACAGGTGAGCAGCACGTCAGGCGACCGGGTCGTGCATGTTGTAGGGAGTCTCCTAGGAAGGGTTTCCGTACGGCATTTGATTCTGGGCACGAGGGTGTATACCTGCAGGTGGCTGGGGGCATGGGGGGTTTGGGCTGAGGGACCCTGAGGTTTTTTGCGGCCACAGCCTTCCTGCTGCTGACGTGCTGCTCTTGATGATCTCTTGTGCCAGTGATGATGGGCTCTCTCCTGGCTGCCACCACGGAGGCCCCAGGTGAATACTTCTTCTCGGATGGAATTAGGCTGAAGAAATACCGTGGCATGGGCTCACTAGATGCCATGGACAAGAACTTGGGCAGCCAGAACCGGTATTTCAGGTAAGAGATGGTGCTTTGGGGCAGCAGCTCAAGCTTTTGGGGTTTCTCTGCTTCACAAACTTCCTTGATTTGTGCTCCCATGCAGCGAGACGGACAAAATCAAAGTGGCCCAGGGGGTCTCTGGCGCAGTGCAGGACAAGGGCTCTATCCACAAGTTCATTCCATACCTGATTGCTGGGCATTCCTGCCAGGATATTGGTGCCAAGAGCCTGACCCAAGTCCGGTGAGTCCTTCCCTTCGCTTGTGCTCTGGTTAGGCCACAGTGCTGCCATTTGGGGTCTCTGGGCAAGCTGTACCCATGCTGTGGTGTGTTCTGCGTGGTCTGACCTCGCTGTAGCCTTCGTCTCCAGTGGGCACTGCGTCACAGATCTGCCAGCCCCAGGGATGCAGGAGCACGGGCTCCTGTGGCATATTCTGCTGGTTGGGCCTGAAATGTCGGGGTTCCCTTACTCCGCCTGGCTCTTGGGAGCACAGCAAAGGCCATTCTGGCCGCAGCTGGAGTGTCCCTTGTCCCAGCTGCTCCAGCTGAACGTGTGCACGGTCCTCCCTGGACTCTGGCTGGCACGTGACAGGTGTCCTTTCCCCCCAGAGCCATGATGTACTCGGGAGAGCTGAAGTTTGAGAAGAGGACGACGTCTGCCCAAGTGGAGGGAGGGGTGCATGGCCTCCACTCGTAAGTGCTGCTGGCAGGACCTCTGTCTCCCTGGGGTGGGCGTGGTGGGGGGGAGTTTAGTGCTGCTGTCCTGTGCCTCAGCTGGCAAGCCAGCACGCTGCTGGCTTCAACTCCTGCTGCGCAGCTGGCCTGAGGTGTAGCCTGTCGTCTGGCCCGGGCCAGTGCTCCTCTCGCAGCAGGGCACGAGCAGACGAGCTGCTCGCTGCCAGTGTGCCGGGGCTTTTCCCCACCATGGGCCAGCAGGCCAGGAGCCATTCCTAACTGCACCTTTGGTCCTTGCCCTGGTCAGGCGGGTCAGTAAAAGGGCTCTCTGGTTTGCTGCTCCCCTCACAGGTATGAGAAGCGCCTCTTCTGAAGGAGGCCTGTCTTGTGTCTGTCATCGTGCCACTCAGCCCTGTGCCACCCTGTGCGGGAGCTGCTCTTGCTGCAGAAGTGCCATTCCTCTGTGGGCTGCCTGGAGCTCCTTGTGTCCCTTGGCTGCTTCATCACCACCCGAGAGGGCCCACCCCCTGCCCAGGAGCAGTGATCCTGGGCTGGTGCCTGGAGCCTTGCACGCGTTGGCCGTGTTTTACAATAAAAGGAAAAGATGTGCAGTTGGTGTCAGCCCGGAGCCCCTCTTCCTTCTGTACTGCCCTTGTCCTCCTTCCCTGGCTCTCTCCTTCGCTTCCTGCACCCTCTCAGGAGCAGCTGATGGCCCCAGAAGGGACACTGCGTGTCAGGGGAATGGGGAGGGGACAGGACAGCCCCTTGACAGGGCTGAGTGGATAATGCAGTGTGGAGTGTTTAAAAACAAAAAAAACAAAAAAACAAAAAACAAACCTTCCTGAGAGCAGAAAACAAGTGGCTGCTGGGCAAGAAAGCAAATGGATTTTACAGGGCCGTTGGCTACTGCTGGGACCTGCCCAACCCAGCAGCAGCTGCCAGGGTGCCGCAGGACCCTGTGCCAGGTCCAGCTGCTGCAACGATAAGCATGTAGGTGCTTGTGTGTGATGTGCACACCCACCCAGACACCCCTGGAAATGCTCTGCGCTGCAGCTGCTTACACACACCAGGCACTTGTACCTGTATCTTCCCATGCTTGCTCCTCACCAATCCACCTTTCTCCTTCCCTTTGTTTCTTCCCCTAACCATCCCATGCTGTCCCCCACAACCCCCCAGATGCTCGTCCCCACATTGCCCCAGCAGCTGCACCCCCTCGGGCTGGCCGGTGCAGGTGGCACAGATCACTTGTACTGTTTGTTTGCCAGAAGGCGTGTGGACAAGGAACTTGGAAGGGCACAACTGAGAGCTCACGGGCTTATGAAGGAGCCGGGGTTTGCGTTTCTGCATGCCTGACCAGTGCAAACCTCCCCTGCATGGCCAGGTTACCTGTGCCTGCAACACCAGGCGCCAAAGGTGTTTTACATGTGTATCAGCCCCCTCCAACATATGCAAATGTCACTCTGCTGAAGAGCGCGTGTTTACCGTCAGCATTTTGTGCTCTAATGTTGTTGTCTGAAAAAAAAAAAATCACTCCGCAGCATGGCAGTGTCAGATTTACACGTGCTAAAACCAGAGCCTTGAATTACAGCATAATTGTGTTGGTGTCAAACATTCATTAATGCAGCTGGCTTGTTAAGCAAAGTTAGCCCACGGCCTGCCTCAAGGCTGGGGACCGCAGCCGCATACCCCCTCCTTGGGCCCACGGAGGCAGCAGGGTTTGGGGAGCGAGGCTGCGATTCGGGATGCGTAACC